CCCTTGTTTTTGAATCAAGTCAATTCTTGTTAGCAGGGGTTAGGGGGAAATTAACGTCTGAGTGTACAGCTTCATCGCTGTCATTATCAATTGCTCCTAAATCTCCCACTCGATGAGCTGTTCCGTCCAAAGTAAGGCCAATTCCTTTTAACAAAAATTCCAGCTGTTGTCTGGACAAGGGTTTCGTGAACATGTCTGCATACATCATTTTTCTGTTGCAGTGCTGTAGTTTAACAATTCCTTGATTTTGTAGATCATATACGTAGTGATATTTTACATTGATGTGTTTGGTGTACCTGCTTCCTTTTTTTTTTTTTTTTTTTTTCTGGAAATATTTATGCATGATATATTTTCCTCGAATACAATGTTAGCTTCCTGTTGAGTGAAGCTTAAATCTTCCACCAGTTGTCTAATCTATTGTAGCTTCTGCAAAGTTAAAGCTAGAGCGAAGTCGGTTTCTGTCAAAGATAAGGCGACACAATTTTGTTTCTTGCTTGTCCATGATACCGTACTGTTTCCTATTTGAAAAATATATCCGGATGGGGATTTTCTGTCAGAGGTATCGCCTGCCCAATCAGCATCACTGTAAGCTTTGATGACTCATGCACCATTAGATTTTAGATGTAATTTGTAATTAATTGTAGCTCTTAGATATCGTATGATTTTAATTATACCGTTCCATTCTGATGTTGATGGATTTTCTACTTTTCTGCCAAGTATTTCAACAGAATTCGCTATGTCAGGTCTTGATGCTGTTGCTAAATATAAATGAGCTCTCACTGCTTCCCTATATTTCCGATTATTGGGAAAAACATCATCCTGGTTGTTTTGGTTCTTCATAAAATTCATAGTCATGGGTGTATAGCTTAGTTTCCTTGGTGACTTTCTGTCAAATTTTTCGATCATACTCCTAATCTTGTTAGCTTGATGAAGTTTAAAGCTTCATCACATCTTTTTCTCGTTCGATTTCGATTCCTACATATGTAGATACTTCTCCAAGATTTCGAATGTCGAAATGTTCTTTGAAAATTTTTTCAACTTCTTGAATTGATTCACGCTTGTCACTCGCGACTAATATGTCATCAACATATACGATTATGCAAGTTCTTGCATTTTTCTCGATTAGTGTGAAGGAACATGGATCAGCCTTTCCTTGAACATATCCTTGTTTGTGTAGGATATCTTGTGATTCCAGTTTCTAGCAGCCTGTTTTAGTCCGTAGATACTTTTAATTAGTTTACAGACTTTGTTTGTTTCCAATTCCTTTTTTTTCTTTTGGAAGATCAACTAGTTCCTACGTTTTGCTTCTTTTCAGTGCTTCCATTTCTTCTTCTGTGGATTTTAACCACAGTTCCTTTTCTTTGGTAGGAAAAGTTTGCAGTTCTTCCCAGTCTTTAGGAACTTTGATTTCTTCATTCTTAGCTATGTATGAGAATCTGTTTGGTAGGATTCCTTTAATCGTTCTATGGGATCTTCTTGGTAATAGGGGAACTTCTTCTGTTTCAATTCCTTCCTCTGCTGTAGCATTTGAACATGGCTCTGTCAATTTATTTTCTTTAAAAGGCCATTCTATTTCCTCATTCTGATCATTTTAATTGACAAGGTATTACTTCTTTTTTGTTTTCGTCGAATATTATGCTTCTTCTGATCACAATGTTGTTTCTATGTGGCATGTAAATTCTATAGCCTTTAGTACGGTCACTTTATCCAACAAGAATTCCTTCTTCTGCTCTTTTGTCTGCCTCTTCGTTCTTTACTTCTTTTCTACTTTGGAACTAGACAATAGGCTGTGCTGCCGAAAACTCTGACTAAAATTAAATTTGACTTCTTATTATTCCAGAGCTCGTACTGTGTTTTTCAACTGATCTTGATGGTAGCCTGTTTTGTAGATAGGTGGCTGTCATTACGACTTCATCCCAAAATTCTCTTTTGAGTCCTGAATCGAGTAGCAGGTATCTTGTCATTTCCATTAAGTATTGATTTTTTCTTTCTGCTCTACCATTCTGCTGCGGTGAATATGCTACGGAGGTTTGATGATCGATTCCCTCTTTCTTTAGATAGTCTTCAATCTCTTTGTTTGTATATTCTCCTCCATTGTCTGTTCTTAAGACTTTTGGCTTCTTTCCAAATTTGTTCTTTGTCATGGTTACATGTTGTTTTAATTTGAAGATAGCTTCATCTTTTGTAGCTAGCAGATAGATCATTGTGTATCTCGAATGATCGTCGATGAATGTTATGAAATATTTCTTTCCTGCTAGTGATGTAGTACCGATTGGTCCATAAATATCTGAATGTATCAAGTCCAGAAATGATTTTGCTCTATAGTTGTTGAACTTGGGATACGGCAATTCAGTCATTTTGCTTCTGATACAGCATTCGCATTCTTTTTCCTGTTTGGCTTCTCCGTCAATCCTTACATCATTCTTTAGCCTCCTGATAGCTTCATAATTTCTGTGTCCTAGTCTTCTATGCCAAAGATCTATGCTATTTTTACTTCTTTCCGCAGCTGCAATTTTGGCTATTCTTTCTTCACGATTCAATTATGGTATATAAATTTCCTTCTGCTTTAGCAATTCCTATGGTTTTATTTTTCTTCTTTATTCTGCAAATATCTTCTTCAAATTCGACTGTAAATCCTTTCTTTGTAATTTTTCGTACGGATATCAATCCTCCTTCTAGGTCAGGAACGTACAGAACATCCACGAGTCTTACTTCTATTTCGTTGTCTTTGTCGTCTGTACAGTATAAGTATCCTTCTCCGATACCTTCGGACTTCATCTGAGCACCGTTAGCAATTGTTATTTGCTCGATTTTGCTTCCATCCAATTTAGTGAAAAAGTTTATGCTATTGGTCATATGAGTCATTTGACCAGATTGAGTTTTGAAATTTTCTTTCTCTGGTGACTTTGAATGTGTAATTCTCAGTCTTTTCAAGATTCTTATTTTTGTTTTCAACTTTGTGTGCATCCTCGTTTACAGCAAGTTTTGTTTTCTGTTTATTTCCATAATTTTCTTTATTCGCTTGCTTTTCATTCTTGAAAAATGAGTTACTTTTGCTTTTGTCTTTTTCTTTGTAGTTATTTAAGATTCTGCATTCTTTTTCCAAGTGTCCTAATCTTCGTTGATTGAAATGCCTCAATTTTGTGTTAAAATTCATTTTGAAGGCAGTTGTTTCTTCTGTTTGATTGCCTTCTTTTCTTCTCAGGCATTCGTCGATGAGTTTCGTTTTTACGTATTCCAGCGTTAGTTCTTCTGGGCGTGCTTCTAAAGCTGTAATGAGATTTTCGTAGCTTTTTGGTAAGCCGCTTAGTAAGAGCGCTGCAATGTGACTGTCCTTTATTTCTTCACCGATTCCTCGCAGTTCGTCTACGATTTCGAGCATTTTGTTGACGTGTTCTTCGAGTTTGTATTCGTTTTCTGCTTTTAACGTATACAGCTTTCTCAGAAGGTAAAGTTTACTGGAAAGATTCTTTCTTTCATTCCATATCTCTTTGGCTGCCATTTTATTTCTTATGTGTACGATTTGGTTGTCTTCTATGAGTAAACTAATGGTAGCTTGTGCTTGTTCATTCTGTTTTGTCCATTTGGCGTTTATTTCTTTTGGTGTGTCATGTGCGATTAAATTCCATAAATTTTCTTTTTCCAGGATCATTTCAAGTTTGTGTTTCCATACTTGATAGTTGTTATTATTTAGTTTCATCATGATCGAATATTTATTTTCGCAGCTAGTAGCCATTTCTGCTTCTGTATTTCGAATGCGCAGTACGCAACTATGCAGTTTTGTTTCGCTTTTGAAGAAGACAGGCTTGGCTTTCCTTTTTCGGATTATCCAGCGATAATTTATGGCAAAGTATCTTTTCTGTTTGTATTTTTTATTCTTGATAGCTTATCTCGATATATTTTATGCGTTTAGTTGAAGTAAAAAACATGCGCTCGGTCTCATAATCTTAATGTTGAAGGTATGTCGTGGTTCATTTTGTTTACTGTTACAACTTCGCTAAATTCGAGACGAGCAGATGAATAAAACAGAATTAAAGTTCTTACCTTGATACAGCGTAATCCATGCTGCAGATGTAAGGAACACAATCATTATTATTAGCATACACAAAATAACATATTTATTAGGTATTAGAAGGAAAAAATATCTAGCAATGATTACAAGCGTTGTTTACTGTCCATTGCATAATGCGAGAACGAGTCATACAAGGAGAGAATGTTTCTCCTTGTTTTTGGATCAAGTCCAATTCCTGTTAGCGGGGGTGAGGGGTAAATTAACGTCGGAGTGTACAGCTTCATCTCTGCTGTTATCAATTGCTCCACAAAAGTGAGAAATGAAAGTTTGATTTGAAATTACTGAAAGAACAAAATACATAATAATGCAAACCTCAGATAATCCTCCAATTTAAATTCATTGTGGAAGTTTGCGAAAATAACACATTGACTGCCAAGCACATTTTGAAGAAATTTAGTCTGGGCATCTATGTTGTGTTCAACTTATTGTACAAAATATTAAAATCATAGCCAACAGAATGGCCTGCTATTAATATGGTTCATGTTTGCATCACCCAAATAAGATGCTGAGAAACACAATATTTTTGTCTAGCATATGAACAGAAACATCCATCATGCATTGAACAATGTTTTAAAGCATATCCTGATTAAAATTCCCTCTTACAGTGTTGCTTTGTGTCATTTCTTATATTCTGAAAATCTTGTACTTGTGAAATCATTTTTGTGATGCCTTCTTATTACTAATGGACCTATAACAGACACCCAGCCCACAAAATTTCCATGCATTTCAATATAGTAACTTACAGTGGGCACCGAAAAGCTATTCTACAAAAATGAGATAACTCATGGTGAATATCTAAATCAATGTGTTAATACATTTTTTGCATTAATGCTATCTACCAATAAACATTTCCTTTTTTTATAATCAATTTAATAGCACGTAAATTGAGGTATTTAAAATAAAAATTACATGCAAATCTTGGTCATACCATAACATATGGAGCTAAAACACCGCAAGACTCAGCAACCAATAATCTTCTCTCCACATAGCGATGAGTGATCTATTAAAGATAACAATACATCAAATTGTATTGTTCCAAGTTAAAATCACTGATTATTACAATTTAGATAATATAAAAATTTATAAATTTTGATATAAGTTTTATAAATTGGTAATGAATCTTATAAAATGCCAGTTTATTTTATTTGATAATAAAGTTTCTGATATAGTTTCTACTACCAACATAAAATGCAGAAGAACTCTGTTAATCTGCGAGTGCTTAATTCACGAATGCTAGTTATTCACATTCATTTTTTTATATAAACATATCAATTTTTCAAAAATTTAGCAGTCAAACTTTAAAAGAAATGTTTTAACATAAATATACAAACATATTATTAACCAAATACAGAGACTGTTCGCACAATTTTTAGACTATTTTGGTAAGCGGTAATAAAAAATCGTTTGCTGCAAAAGAAGTAATTGCAATTGTACTATGTTTTCAAAAGTCAAAATTATCATCTGTGGCTTGAAAGTTTTGTTTTTATTAAAAATGGCGAATTTAACAAAGCAGTGGTTCGAAGGCTACATTTACGCTCTTTCCGAAGAGAAATATGCATACTCCGTTATCCAAAAACGATGTGAGAATCATGGTTTTGTGATATCTAAAGCGTCGATAGGTAATATCATCAACAAGACAGCAAAAAAACGTCAAAAGGGAGACTCAAGTGGGACAAAAATTCCAAACAAGTATCGAAGGAAAAAACGAACATCTTCGACTATTGCAAAGGTGCGTTGTTTAATGTTAAAAGAAACCCCCCCTAATCAAAGGACAGTTGCAAAATCTTTAAAGGGCTGGGTGTCCACTGTAAATAAAATGATAAACGTTGATTTAAATCTTAAGAAAGCGAAAAAATGCAATGTGCATCGTCTTCTTCCAAAGCATATCGCTCAACACAGGACACGCTGCAGAATTCTATATGAGAAACAAAGAAAAATGGAAAACAATTGTCACAATAGATGAAGCATGGGTGTATTTAAATGATTGTAACAAAAAAAGAGCCATTTATTATCATAAAAGGGGAGGAAAAAATTCAAGTACATGGTTCAAAGAATCGAAAGAAAGTTTGTCTAAGGGATTCATGATTGTTGTTGGATTTTCTTATAATGACAAGTTAAAAATAAAGAGAGTGCAAAAAAATGTCAAGATTAACTCCAAATACTATCAGAAACATATTTTATCACCAATTTTTCTGAATGAAATACCATTGCTTTACCCACAGTGTCATCATCATCTGTGAGACTCCATCAGGACAAAGCTAGCAGTCACACATCAAAATCCACTGTAAAATTCTGGTATCAAGGCCATACCCTTCACTGATATCCCTACTAAATCTCCCGATGTGTCACCTATGGATTTTTGTGCTTTCGGACTTTTAAAAACTGCATTATCCAAATGTTGTCCCCAAACCCTAACAGAACTCTGGAAAGCTGTTCGGAAGGAATGGGATAGAAATACCTCTTCTTGCCACTTCAAAAGGCATTATTATCCTGGAAATTGCAGTGTCGAAAAATAGTTCAGAATAAGGGATGTCAAATAGAACATTTAAAACACAAGAATTTTATGTAATTTAATTTTGTGAATACAATATACATCATCTAAAAAATGTGTGAACAGCCTCTGTATGCATTATATTTATGACATACATTGACTAATAAAAACCTCATTTATTTCATTACTGAACTTACCTACCATTTTTTGCACAATTCACTTTATACTAATTATGGATCACGAATCCGAAAACTTTGTTTCAGAAAAACTAACTTTTCAATATATATTCTATTGTCTTTTTAATTAATCTCAAATTTATGGGAATAACATGTGTAAATAATTCATTTATGTGTATCACTTTTCAGATGCTGAGTTTGAAACATTGCAACTTGTTTACAGCAACTTGCAACAGAAACTTGTATTTTAGAACAGATAATAAATTTGGCAACCTTAGGAAGATTACTAAGAATTTTTAAACAAGTGTTTTGAGCCTCTTTTGATTTCAAAATGCCTGAATTTGCAACATGGTTGCTAAGAGATATTCTGACTGCTTTAGCAATATGTAAAAACAAACTAGAATGAATCATTCCAAAAACATTAACCTCTAAATGCACATGAGTGAATTAACTCAGATAAACCAAACTAAATAATTTCTGGACAACTGAGTAAATAGTTCCAACACTTATTTTTTTCAAATATGAATATAATAGAATATATCTGTTCTAAAGTTTTAAATTAAAATAAAGAATAAAGAAAGGCCACTTTCTGAATATGTGTTGATGCATTATTAAGGGGTTAAATAAAACTGTAGTAATATATACTAAAAAAAAATACAAGAAGATATAAAATTGTAATACCTGTTTTAAGTAAGAAATTAAAAAAATAATGAAAAGAGAACATTTTCAATCTTAAAAGCACAATTACCTGTTCCCAGCACTGTGGAAGAAGCTCAGCTTCAACTCTTGATGGTCCTAAGTGCTGTGCAATGGCTACAAGTCCTGTCAGAATCATTTGTCTATAAAATTATAGAACATAAAGTATTCTATGCATTTCCCAATATGTATTAATATGCATTAATCAATTAATAATACATATTCATTTTCTTTAAAACTTTTAGAAGCCTAATTTTGAATCATGCAATCCTTCAGCACAGTCACTAACCAAATTTCACTAGGCACACTTATCTACTGAAACAACGCACATAAGAATTCTTATTATAACATATCTGAAAATACCTTTGTTCTTCATCAGGCCTTTTAATGAGGTTAAAGAGTATGTTTAATAATTTGTCTCTTTGTTTTGGATCAGGATGCAAAGCTATTGCACACAGAATCAAAGGAATTAATTCCTGTAAAAACAGATAAAATCAAAATGCTGCAAAAATATTTTTTGAGAAATGCTTAAACATATAAATGATAGTTTTACAAAATATAAATTAGCTATTTTTAATAAATTTAAGATATTGCAATTCAATTCTGATGACTAGCAGAAGACATACAGTTAGTGGATAGAACATGCACACCAGAAGGAAATCCATGCATGCTAAAAGAATAGGCATAAAAACTTGCATACTTATGTGTAGCAAAGATGAATCCCATTGTACTGCCCAATTGTGCTGACCCTGAGCTACCAACCAACTTTATTTAATAACAGAATTAACAACTTTTCATATTTGTTCTTTCAATTTTTCCTGCCAGTGTACCATAATTTCGGGTAGATAAGCCGCAGCTTATACATGTTTAAAAGTTTAAATTTTAGGTTGGTGGCGTATCTGAGGGGGGATTTTATTTTTTTCTGTCCTTAAAAGTTCGCTATTTCAGATCATAAGTAATGCAGAAGTGAGGTGGTACGAATTCACTGCAATATTCTAACCTGCGATTGCGCTAAGGCAGTGCAATGGGTCCAAACTCCCCTAAGGTAGGTGGCGGTCTTTGTAAAGACAATGTAATGCATGTACTTCCTCCTAAAACTTCATGGTTTTTCCCACTTTTCCTATGACTTTTTGCTTTACTGATAACAGCTACAATTACTTGCCAAGTGCTGTGTTCATTCATACACATTTTTACTGCTTTGTAGCTTGCTTTTTGTTTGCCTTATCATTGGCGCTTAATTTTGTTATGGCTCCTACTCGAAGAAAAAGTTATACAGCTGCTTTTAAGCTTTTGGCAGTAAAGAAAGCCATCAAATTTCGAAATCGCGCTGCGACTAAAGAATTTCAATTTGACGAGCGATGCATTTGGCAGTTGAAGTTTGAACAAGAAGAATTAGAGAAAATGCCTACGAATAAAAGACCTCGTCGAACTGGTGTCATAGCCTGGTCTGTTTTGGAAGACAATTTAGATAAATGGACAATAGAGCAGAGCGAAAGTGGATTATCAGTATCAACAGTTAGAATTCACCTTCAAGCAAAGATAACTGCTCAACAAATAGGCATTAAAAATTTTGTTAGAGGACCTAATTGGTGTTTCAGGTTTAGGAATCAAAAGAAATTATCCGTCCGGACCAAAACAACAGCTGGACAAAAGCTTTCAGTGGACTGACTTCGAAAAAAGATAGCTTTTTTGGAGTACACATCTAAAGAAAATTAAAGAACAAAATTTGAAAAAGAAGGCAAATAATTAAATATGGACGAAGTGCCCATTACTTTTGACTGGCCTCTGAGTAGAACTGTTCATTCAATAGGGGAAAAAACTATTTCAGTGTTAACAACCGGGAATGAAAAGACTTCTTTTACTTATGTTTTGGGTTGTGCCGCCAATGGAGAAAAGTAACCCCTTTGATAATTTTCAAAAGAAAAACAATTCCGAAAGCAAACTTTCCAAAAGAAGTTGTTATTTGTGCCAACGAAAAAGGTGCTTTTTTCCAACCCCGAGGACTCATTGTTCTGGATTTAATGCGATCCCATTTAGTGGATACGGTAAGATCTGAAGCAAAAAAAACTTAGCATCGATGTCTCAGTGATACCAGGTGGGCTTACAAAAATTTTACAGCTGCTAGATCTCACTATCAATGGAACTTTCAAGCACGAACTACAAAAGCAGTGGGAGGAATGGATGCAAAGTGGACTCCATTCATTTACGAATTCCGGACGAATGAGAAAAGCTTCATATGAGGAGGATGCCTTATGGGTTGATAAAGCATGGCAATCGTTCCGAGCTGATACGATCGTATTGGCTTTCATTAAATCGGAAATCATTGAAAAGAAAATGAAAATGCAGATAGTGATGTTGAAAGAAGTGATTTAGAACAGAATGATGACACTGACCTTGATGGTCATTTGTTAAATTTTTTTTAATCAGACATCGATGAGTCGAATTTTGAAGGTTTTGTATAAATAAATGTAGTTTAATTTAATTAGAAAATTCTGTTTGTTTATCGAATTTACGTATTCTGTTTCATAATGTGGTAATTTATGCTATAAACAGAGTTTACCGAAAACGTAAAAATAATATATTAGAAATCATCAGAGATCATTTTCGGCAAGTTCAAGGTAAGATGTTACTTCTTTATTTATATATTACTGGTTATATTTATGTCATAAATGTTATCAATGATGATTACACCAATATGGCAGGGAATTACTGAGTGAATGAATATTAATTGCCACGCTTCGGAATGCTTGGCTGTGGCGTATACGGTGGTGCGGCTAATCGGATATTTTATTTTTTTTCAGTCATTTATCATGTGTGCGGTGTATACGCCAGGGCGGCTTATTTAACTGAAATTATGGTATTAATTAAAAAATAGCCTCCTCAAAAAAGGAAAGCTTACTAAACCCACCATTTTCAAACTGGAAAATACTATAAATTAAAATGCTCATGACATAGAATTTTATAAGAATAAAAAAGTAATACACAAAACTGCAGAAAAAAAATTACAAGCTAGGCCAGCACCTTGGTAGTGCTATAGATGAAAGTATTGCTGAATCTAGTTAACTATTACAATAGGTGACATAATTCCAAGGAAGAACACATCAGGGCATGGTCTGGGTCTCTCACTGCTCTTCCCCTACCATCAACCTCACATGAGGGTTTCAGTTTGCCTTGCATTTAGAGTGCCCCCCCCTTGCTGTACAGACATTATATGCTTACAAACATTCATGCCTTCTCAGGGATTAAAACATGGTCATTTTGAGACAGCAGCCAGCTATCCCATTTGGGTGATAGCTGAGCTAGCAATATATAAATCATTTATTGGAGGACAATAATAATGTTGTTTAGAATAAATATCTGATCATAACGAAAGTTTTCCACCAAAAAACATTCTTACTAAAAACTAGAAAAAACCTATTGGGGGGAATACACGAAAGCAGTACCTTTAACTATGTTAGTAAACACCAACCAAATCCATGATTTTCTGCCAACGTTTGGTAGTTTTTCAAAGCCTTTGGCCCAGAAACTTAATGGCCATGAGTCCAAAAGCAGATCAACCTCATTTTGGACATACTGTGCAGAATGGAAGATAGCATCAGCAAGCTATAGCTGCAGGTGTCAAAAAACATAGAAGTTTGAAGGAGCAATATCAAGGCTATATGGTAAGTATAGCAAAAGATCCCATTAGAATCCAGCCAGTGAATGCAGACACATGCAGTCTTGCATTATCTTGATGGAACATTACCTCTTATTGCCAGAGCTCAGTTTGATGTTTTTCCTTGATAGCAGCGAACTAACATCTTGCTGCACACCTTACTGTCGAAGGTTTTACCTTTTCTCAGATACTTTTTGTGGATAATACCACAGCAATCCCACCAAATTCAAAGCATGATTTTTTTGTTAGTCAAATTGTGCTTTGCGACACTGCCAACTGGCTCAATGGACATAGACCAACGCTCTTTTCGGCCTATGTTGTTGAAGTAAATCCACTTTTTATCAGAAGTGATGATCCGATCCAGAATTTTGTCCTTGCATTGATATTCGAGCAAATTAGTACAGACCTGAACACGTCTGTCATTATCTCCGTGAATCTGCTCAGGCTGCACCCAGAGAATTTAGAGACTAAACCTGTACATCAAATTTATGCAACGCAGAGTGCGACTAATGGGCATGGCACTAATGTCTAACTCCTTAACAAGCTCTCACATAGTTGTATACTGATCTACTTCCACAAGTTTTTGCACACAGGTCTCATCAACATCAGTAGGCTGGCCAGAGTGCTCTGCTTCTTGAATGTCATAATTCTTGTTTTTGAACTTTTGGTACCAAACCTTCACAGTGTCATATTATACAACATTAGTACCTAAAGCTGTACACATGATTTGGTGACTTTCTGTAGTTGACTTTTTACAACAGAACTGGAAGTAAATGATGGTTCTAATCTGGTAGCATGATAGTTCCATTTCAGACACTTTGTACTTAATAATAAAGATTTTTTTTTTTTTTTTTTTTTTTTTAATTTCACAACACAGTGTTCTAAAGCAAGTCTCTTTCTTTGAAGTGGCAAAAATCATTTGACAAAATATGATTAAACATGCCAACACAAACTGTTTGCACAATCGATATTTGCAGTGGCCGGAAACTCTCATAACAACCTAATAAATAATTATACTGATGACTTTTGATTTCCAACCATATTATAAGATGAATAGAATAAGCGCAAATGTTTACGCTTCACATCTTGAATTTTTGCTAAATTATAATAAAATACATATATTTTAAATAGTATTTTACAAAAAAATATTTAAAACATGGTTTCATTAAGGTGCAAGAAGAAAAGACAATTGTAGGTCTGAAATTTTAAAATTTAAAAAAAAAAAAAAAAAGTGAATATATAACACCTTTTAACGGCAGACTTAATTTTCCATTAAATAAAATATACAGTTACTCCCATATATTCTAATGCACACTTTTTAATGAAAATAATTAATAGTGATCATTAATGAAATGACCATTGTTAACACACTAACATAATACATGTATTGAGGAATAACTATAGAATACAAGATTATAAAATCACTTTTCTGAAGTTTTTGATGCTTCCTTGAAGTTACTCTCATGCTCTAAGCAGTCTCTGAATACCCATTTCTAATGCATTCATGAAAATATAAGAACATACAGCATATAAACCTTTCTCATGTGGATCACAACTCAATGGTATTATTTTATAAATAAATAAATCGAAATAGCAAATGTGAGTTGGGCCTATTGTTGCACTATTCAGGGTGAAACAATATTTACTATTTTTAGTTACATACTTAAAAAAAAAAAAAAAAAAAAAAAAAAAAAAAAAAAAAAGAATTCTTATATTAATAGGTTTCCACTTAGCATAAATGCATGGATATAGTATAGAAAACAAAGAAATTTGTAAATAAGAACGAATGTAATTATTCCAATCTAGTTATTCCTATTTGTT